GCTCTCTCTATCTCATTCTCTCTCTCAAATAAATAAATAAAAAATCTTTAAAAAAAAAAAAAAAAGGAAAGAAAGACTAAGGACAGGGGCCCGCCCGCCGAAGAGCCAGCGGAGCGCGGGTGAGGGCGAGGGGAGCCGGGGGGAGGAGCGGGGGGCGTAGGCGGCGGGGACCCCGGCGGGCGGAGGGCGCGGGAACCGCCGCTCGGAAAGAGCTCGGCCCGAGACACCCGCTGCTAGCCGCCTCCACACCCGGCCCTCACCCCCCGGAGCCCTGGAGGCGCCGCACCCTCCCGCCGCTGCCCACGCCGCGCGAGGCACGTTCGGGAGCCGGAGGGCTGTGATGACCGAGGGGCCCCGCAGCCCCCGAGAGCCGGGGGGCAATCACGGCAGCCTCCGAGCGAAGCTCCACATCCGCCCTCCCAGCCTCTGGCGTTTGGGCATTACCCTCGGTTTGCAGATATCGAGTCCTGGAGGTGCTGTGCGCCTAAGGGACATAATTTAGAACAGAAATCAATTATGCTAATCCTGAGCACTGTGGTTCAGAGAGTTTAAATTCAGGAGCAGCTTTTTACATCTAGTTGGCTGGACACCACTCCTTGTTCTGTTTTGGCCAACCGTAGCTCCTCCACGCCAGCTCTTTTATCTCCCAGTACAGACTTCCACAGATTTCCATCATTCCACCCCAAAACGTTACAGTAAACGGGCTCTCTTCCCTTCATCAAATCGTCTCCACCTCTCCTCTTCCTGCTCCCAAATCTAATTCCTGACACATCCGAACCAAAACTCCCCAAAAGACCTGGGTTCAAAAGGATTGTGAGACATTGCTGTTGTGACCCTAATAAGCCACTGTGTTAGAAAAACCAGAAAGCACCAAGTGGGGGAAACCAATAAAATGTAAGCCAGTGGGATTTACAAAGTGGTCCTAAAAACAGTCTTTATCTTCCTCTTCCTTTCCTCATCCTGTTAGCAAACTGTGTTCAAGTGAGGGGAGAGCACTTGGATCAGTCCGCTGCCTAGTCCTTCCTACTATGAGCCAGGAAACCAGGCTCCTGATTATAGCTTGGTCTTGTTCACCCCGGTCACACTGGGCAGAGAGGATGATCTGAGTGTGGCAGCCCTGCCAAACAGGACAGCCCTACTCCTTCAGGAACTGCGGCCCAGGGCTCCCAAGGTGTGGCTCTGTGGGTTGCTCCTTTATGCGGGGACTCCAGGGCCTTCCAGCTCCTCAGCGTCTGCTTTTCTAGCTTGGCAGTGGCCCAGGCTCCTGATTTTTCACTTTCTCTTCTGGCTTCTTTTCTGGCAGTTTGGCTGATTCATTAACATCTCCATCAGAGGGTGGGCTGGAGAATAGGGAGCTTGAAACGCCGCTCAGCTCTTCTTAAAGGTCCTTCTAGTGCTGGGCTTGGTGGGAAAGGAGCCACACTGTTGGCTAAAATGAGATTTTGGGATTATCTGTGGATTTAATCTGGGTTTCTCACATCTACCATTTCCACAAATAATTAGAGATTACTAGATACAATCAGAAGTTGCTTTAGCCTTAAAGAATTTGGAGAAAATCTAAATAGGCTTAAATGCCATCTTGGAGTCCAGAATGTTAAGCTCTATGCTCCAGATAATTAACATTTTTAAGGCCTTCCCCCCTGCCCCCAGGACCCTGTGGTTAAATCACTGCTAGGTAACAATTTACTGAACACATTTTAAATATATTTCGCAGGAAGGGTGAGCTGAGTAGAGAAGCAGTAAATGCACTACTGTTGCATGAAAGAGAGAATAGGCCAGGCAGCTTCGGCGATTTGAAACTTCTCTATCATTGAACATATATTCTGATGCGCGAAGTTTGAGAGGATTTTTTTATCAACCTATGTGGGAGACAGGCAGGTGGAGGATGATTTGTAGAGCCGTGCCCTCTCTGTGGGCATGAGTGTGCCGCCCCTCCTCCTGGAGAACACCCTGGACACAGAGCAGTGGGTGATACTCAGAAGGAGCAGGGCCCTTCCTCCATGCTCAGAGGGCTCCTTCCAGAGAGCAGCAGTGGAGGCAATGACATTCTTTTGATTTTTCTTTTCCCAGTGGGAGTCCTACATTAGCAGTGACATGAAAATGGCATCCTGTTATTGCAGGATGGTGGAGAATATGGTAATAATAGTATCTTGTGCTTCTGAGGGTTTGACAGTTTTCAAAGCAATTTTGTATTTGTTCTCTTATTTGAGCTTCATAATAACTGTGAGGTAAGGATGGGTATGATCACCTCCATTTCTTTCTGATGAGGAACTTAGCCACAGTCAGAAAGCTAGTAAAGAGCAGAGCAGAATTAGAATCCAGCCTTTCTGACATGCCTTTCTGATGTACCATTAAAGTTCTGTACTAGGGGCGCCTGGGTGTCTCAGTCGGTTAAGCGTCTGCCTTTGGCTCAGGTCATGATTGCAGGGTCCTGGGATCAAGCCCCAAATCAGGTTCCCTACTCAGCAGGGAGCCTGCTTCTCCCTCTCCCTCTGCCTGCCTCTTTGCCTGTTTGTGTTCTCTTTCTCTCTCTGTCAAATAAATAAATAAAATCTTTTTAAAAATAAAGTTCTGTACTAAAACATCATAGTTTCTTATGTGCCTGCATTATCACGCCTGCTCTGTGTTCATTAAATACACTGTATTCCAGTATGCCCATTTTGTACTGATTTAATTAAGCAAATTACACTCATGAAAAAACTGTGTCATTTCTAACACTCTGTCTCCTTCGGAATACCGCGATTGCAACTCTGCCCTTTAGTTGTATTTCCCCTCCTTAATAATCAGCAAGGTGTTAATCTAGCCATGTGGGACAATTTCCCAAAGTCACTTAAATTGACTTACAAAATATCACCCAGTATTCACTTTATCCATGGCTTTTCTTTTCCATTACTAGAATCTGAGTGCATACTAAGATATTCCCCAAAGGAATGGGTCAAGATCACACCTTACCAAAAGCAAACAAAACAAGCAAAAAACTCTGGCACAAATAAGATGTTTGGTATGTATAGCAACTACGAATTTTATATCTATAGATGTTTTTAGAAAGATTGATAAGAAATTCTCTGACATACCCACGTGGCGATAGTCCGATTCATGCTCAAAAAAGCACTTCAGCTTTTTCCATCAACACCATTCATATTTTAGAAGACTGAATTTGCAGGGGCCTCCCCAGAGAATTTCCTTAAACCTCTGCCAACCTGCAGGGAGAAAGAGTGGAGATATTACATAAATATCTGCATCGAGTTCTTGGATAGAGTTGCACAATGGCCATATATGGTGAAAGGTAGATTTTCCCTTGTGACTATACTCTTGGAATATGTTAAATGTATATGTCTCCATTTCTGCTCTCAAAAAGCTGGTGTACAGATGTTCAGTATTGGGGTGGAAAAACGCTGCTGTCTACAGTTTACATGATGTCTAATAGGTCTCTAGAATGTGCTTAAAAGGCAGTGTTCAGAATTAGGCCTCTAACCTTCTTTGACGTAATTGTCTTTCTTTGGAGTCACATCTTGAAGGAAAGGATGAAGATTTGGAAAGGGAATTAATTTTCTCAACCAGACTTACTATTTTCATTCTGTACTTTACAGTAATCCTTTAAACTCAAAAAAATTCAGCTAATTATGGATTTCTACCTGAATATGTTGCCATTTGGGTGGCTGCGTGTCGCTGTTTCTGGTTTCTGACCCCCTGTCAGGCCAATTCTGCCTGATTTCACTCATGTGCTGCTGCTTTTTATAATCTGAACATTATTTCCACTCAAATGTTTCCAGCTTTGCAGAAAACCTAAGAATTTGGAAGGGGGGGAAAAACCTCTCGTAACTATTACTTGGATAATTATCATTTGGAGTTATTCTGATTTGTGAAGACAAAGTGAAAGGCAATGACAGGTTTGTCATTGTGAAAGTGAAAAAGTGAAAGGTTTTAGTTTGAAAGCTAAATTTTCACATTTTAAAAATAGAGCTTAGGCAGTCTCTCTGGTAATTAAAATATGATTTCCCCTCTATTTTCTATGCTCAATAAACTCAACTATTACATTATTATTTTGAAATGTACAACGTTGAGTCTAGGGCATTAAACAAAGAAGTTAAAAGGCTTTGAGGGGATTTTTAAAGATCCAGGTTCCTAATATGTAAAATGGACCCTGGAAAGACTTTATGGTGTATAATATGTTTTTTCCCTATCTTCTAAATGCAATAATCTCCAACCGCCACTTGATCATTAGAGATTTATAGTCACTATAATTTATGTCAACTTATATCTGGGATTCCTTTTTTTTCTACAGCGTTTGGCAGCAAACTGCTGGTAGAAACTAGAATGTTTCACATTAGCAGCCCTCTTAAATTATTTCTGTGAAATAATTTACTGTGGATTACAAATTCTTATATGGCATTTCAAGTTAATGATTAGGCAGAGAGATATATCAAAAATATGATTAGTCACATATGTACCTGACTTGCATGGCTTTAACTCACATATGTGTGTTTCACAAGAATTGTCTTTTCAAAAAGGTATTTCAGGGCTTATATATTTTTCCAACGAAAGCCAACAGATTTTTAAAGGAAAAGAGAAAGAGATATACATGCTCTTATAAACTATCTCCTCTAATTCAACGTCTACAAAATTATTTTCTGTTTCATGATGGCCACTGACCGCATAGGTACCGCTGTGTGGTCCGGAACTACAAGCACTCACAGTGGTGAAGACCTCTTGCAGAGTGACTTGAAGTCAAGATGTAAGAGTCCTAAGAAAACATGAGATGTTTAATGAAAACTGTAATGTCTCTCTTTCACTGCAAGGAATTAGTCATGAAATGGTGTATCCCCAACAGAACACGAAATGAAACGAAACCAGGAGCTCCTCGTTCAAATCTCAGAATGAGCTACTTCCTAACTCATTTTCATTTTTCTACATAGTTAGAGTTAAAGCTTTGAGAGATTTCTTTGTTCAATTTCAGGAAAGTAAGACTTAGAAAGGTGGCCATGAAAGTTGGGTTCCCAATTTTATTTGCATGGAAGCAGCTCCCAGAACACCTCTTTTGTATCTCAGACAGATATTTCTATTTCTCTTCCCTTCCTCTCTTTTCCTCTTTAACAGTGGTTCTCTTAACTCAACTATTTATGATTCCTTTCATGAAAGGCTAGGTTATTTCTGAGGGTACTATAATGTCTTACAGTGGTTTTAGAGACTAGCAGCAACAAGGAACTACTTTCTTTGGTGCCATAAAATAAAGCCATGGTTAATAGCCTACAACCTGCAATAAACTATTAAAAAAGGAATTTATGATGGCTAGTTATTATCCTCCTGAAATAATGTTGTTACAAGTCTGCCCTTGTCAGTCATCCCAAGATCACGTGCTGGATCTCAAACAAAGGGAGGGTCTGGATCCACACAGAGGCTCATGGCAAATTACCCAGGGACGGGATGGCCTGGCCTAATAGTCCCTTATGCCCTTCGTCACCTTTTCAAAGCAAGAGAATAATAGCCACATGTGTATTTTATCCTGATTGCACTAAAAGGCACGTGTTTGTGAGGCTGAGTTTGAATTTCGATTTAGAAAAATATTTGCATGGCCGGTGACACAAATTATGTGGGAGTGCCTTGGGAACAGGCAAGGCTTTTAGAAAGACAACTGGAAGCATCCTGCACACACTGAAAACTGCATGTCAACTGTTTTCCTTCTTTTTAACATTAATTTAAGTCCTGAGAAGAACTGCTTCTTCCTTTCCTTGTTCTGTAAGTACTTTCCTTCGCTAAAGCTAGGTCCATCTGGCGAGCTCCTTGTGAGTCCTCTTTGGCATCAGCAAGGAAGAGAGGAAGACAGAGCATCCTATCACACAGCTGAATGTGTTTGGGGGGGGCGGGGGGAGGAACAGGATTATTCACCAGAGGCTGGGTCAGCCTAAGGCTCAGGAACCAGAACAAGCCGGCTGATGTTGCACAATCACCATAGATAAGAGGATCTACCTCAGAGAGAGAGTTACAGAGAATGAAGAATGATGAGATCGTGTGTGGTTGGGGAAGGATGGGAGATGGTCTAGGAGGTGGATGAGAAGGAGGAAAGGTGGAGAAGGAGGAGGATTAAAAGAGGAGCCAAAGGTCTGGAAATGGTTTGATTGATTTCCAAAGCTGAAGATATAAAATTCCAGGTTCTAAACCCTTACAATATAAATCATCATTTCCTGAAGAAAGTAATAGAATTTCACTGGTAAAGTCATGGCTTTCCTTATTTAAAAAAAAATTTATGTTGTGCCTGTAAATGTGAAAAAAAAAAAAGCACTCTCCTAGAGTTGGATGGATGTTGCTTAATATTAAATGCTAAAGCACAGAAAATTGATTTTAAAATGAGAATAAAAATGAAAAACCAAGAACCATCACTTCTTAGACCTTCATTTAAATAAGCATACTCTAACATACTATGCTGTTTATTACTTGTTTCAGAAAGTTATCAGAAGCATCTGTTCAGTATGTTTCGAAAGCCAACTTGCTTAGTTCTGTGAAGCAATGTCTGCGTTGGTGCCTTTGGAAAACAGAAGAGCACACACACGATTTTAATCCCGTTATTTTGAAAACTTGGAAAAGCTTTGGTATCATCTGAAATGGCTGATTTTTCTTATTTTGTGTACTTAGACGAACATTAACAATTTTTTTAGGAAAAAATTATGTAGATTTAGAAAACTGAAAATCAAAATCTAGAATTGAAATCATTACTTAATATAAAGCTCTGATTTGTAATTGTCTCAATATAAGTGACATCACTTCACCATTCCCTCATGGGATTATAACTCATCTCCAAAGGAAAACCTAAATTCCATGAAAATAGTATTATAAAAATTTTGAAATTAAAGACCTAATAGAAATAAATATAATAAAACAATACATGTCATCTGCCAAAGTAATGCTAATTTATATACTAGCAACCCATTCAGCTTTTTTATACAGAATTTCAGGGCAGCCACTATCCACTAATATTTATAGAATGATGGCCTGGGTAGCAGTCCCTTGCCCTTCACTTAATCACCCAGTAAATCCAAAGCTGGAATATTTTCAACAACATTCATCAGGGATCACTTTTAAGTGACTGAAACTATCAATGATAGCCTTTTTTTTTTTTTAAAGATTTTATTTATTTATTTTAGAGACAGAGCACAAGAGGGGGGAGCGGGAGACGGAGAAGCAGACTCCCTGCTGAGCAGGGAGCCCGATGCAGGACTCGATCCTGGGACTCCAGGATCATGACCTGAGCCGAAGGCAGTTGCTTAACCAACTGAGCCACCCAGGCGCCCTCAATGATAGCCTTTTAAAAGACCATCTACTTTTGGTCAAAATGTTACTACAGAAATCATCCCCCTTTGAAGTGCTATGTATTAATTATATCTGCAATCATGCTGTCAAAATAAAGTGCCTTTAAGACATAGGAAGAGAATTTCTTAATTAAATGTAGAAGAAAAGCACAGAAGGTGATGTTCATTTTGTAACATGCTCTTATTCCATGACTATCTGTAAAGAGCCAGAGCCAAAGAGACTCAAATAAGTGGCCGTCTGGTCAAAAGATGGAAACTGATATGTTTAGCCATTGAAAACTTATAAGAACTTGTCACTGTATTGGAAAAATAAAATCCAATAGAAAATACAGTTTTCTAAAATGTTTTTCTAATTATCACCTTGGCTCTCTGTGGTTCTGCAAATACAAATAAATAGAAAGCTAAGTTCTTCATTTCTTCCCAAGTCCCAGCTTAGCTACAAAACTCCTAAATGAAAACACAGTTTTCTGGTGCTGTCGAAGTCAGGAGTGGTAAAGACCAGAGATGTAAGAATTCCAGGAAAGGCTGTGGAGGGGCGCAGAGGACTGTGGGAGCAATTAGGGGGTGTGCTGGAGAGTGCTCCTTTGTCTCAGACTGTCTACTCCTCATGTTGATCCACTTGCCACACTCTTGGCTATTTCAAAAAAGTGGAGTGGCTGATGTTGGTTCAATACCACAAGAAACGCTGAACTTGCTATCACCAGCATCACCATTGCTCCCTGGTAGCAAGAAAACGCTGAAGTGAGCAGTCGTTGAATCGTAAGATGTTAGAGCTGGAGGGGACATTCACGGAGTCTCTCTGGGTACAGTTTCCAGCTACACAGGGGCTAAACTGGAAGTAGAGTAACTCTTGACTCTCAAGCCACAGTTGTTTAATAAGGATATATCACAAACTGGTTTAGCCAAGGGGTTATAGATTTTAACATATTTTGTAAGATTTACACCTAAATAGTTCATGGTTTTCCAAATCACAAACTAGAGTCCAGCTCCCTTGAGTCCCAAATTAAACATGGAGCACTTGTGTCCCATCTGAGCCACAGAGACCAATGTTGTCCAAAAGAAATACAATGTGAGCCACACATGCCATTTAAAATTTTCTGGTCGCCACATTGCTTTTTTTAAAGAGGCGGGGAGAGGGGGAGAGAGAGAGAGAATCCTAAGTAGGCTCCATGCCCAGCGTAGAGCCTGACGTGGGGCTCGACCTCACAACTCTGAGACCATGACCTGAGCTGAAATCAAGAGTCAGACGCTCAACAGACTGAGTCACCCAGGCAGCCACACTGTAAAATGTAAAAACTGAAATTAATTTTCATAATTGTGTATTGGTTATTTATTGCTGTGTAACAAATTACCCCAAAACTTAGCTTGAAACACACATTTATTATCTTACAGTTGCTGTGCATGAGTGGTTTAGCTGGATCATTTCTGGCTCAGGGTTTCTCTTCAGTTGGCAGTCAAGCTATTGGCTGGGCTACACTGACTGGGGCCAGAGGGTCTGCTTCCATATAGTGTTACTCACATGGCTGGCACTTGGTGCTGGCTGTTGGCTGACGTGCCTCAGTTCTCCTCCACATGACTTCTCATCCTCCAGGCTCTCTCATCTCCATTTGGCATCTTCAGCATGTCCTTTACTGGTGACAGGGCTCTGAAATAGAGGAGAGGGAGGAAACTAATGTAGGGGAGAAGGAGCACCCAAGAGAGAAGCTGCATTTTGTACATTTTGTAATCTCATCTTGGAAGTTATATTCTATCACTCCTACCATATTTGGTTTGTTAGACTTGACCCATTAAGTCCAGCCTACATTCTTGGGGAGGGAATTACACATATAGGTTATTGGGAGTCATCTTAAAAGTAGTCTATCACAAATTTTAATTACCCCAATATACCTAAAGGATTATTTACAGTATTGTTACATAATCAATATAAAAATTTTTAATGAGATACCTTATATTTTTTTCATACTAAGTCTTCAAAATCTAGTATGTATTTTATCCTTACACTGCATCTCAATTGGATGAGCCATATCCCAAGCACCAGTAACCACATGCGGCTCACAGTTATGATAGCACAGGATGTATCTAGATGCTCTGCAGCCACCTAAAGACTCAGAGACCCTAACTAAGGGGAGCTTTTTCACCAGGAACTGAAAAACTGAAGTGATTTAACAGATCTGTACCAAGCGTTTACCATGTTCCAGGCATGGTGCTAAATATGGGGAACTCCAAATCAGTAAATCATCGTGCCTGCCCTAAAGGAACTCAGCCAGACAAATAAGTTAACTTCTAAATACAGATCAACCATTCTGGGCCCACCTCAGGGAACTCTCACCTGTGATGGGTCCTAGAATGAAGCAGAACTCAGTCTCTCCCCATTCCTTGGGAAGGAGGATAACCCAGAGTTTTTTTGGCTCAGCCAAAACCTTTGACAATGACCGTATGCATCATTCCCTCCCGGGCCCAACCTGAGGCTATGTCTCCAGCACTAAGCTGGAGCCCATATGTTGGCCTGAAATCTGATTTGCCTTGGACATGGAGCAAATTAAATATTTGTTTAACTCAGAACATTGTACTTTCCACGATTCTCCATAAGCAAGACCTGTAGGGGAAGGGAGATATAGGGGGTACCTTAACTATTTCAGGTTTCTTGGGTGCTTTGGAGGTACACTTCAACTTACACCAAGCTTCATCTATATGCGACTAAATTAATATGGAAAAAAAGTCCTTAATGATCTTACCAGCTATGAATGGATTTAGCAATGGGGAGCATTATTTTTAGTCTATTCTCTGCCCTAACTCTAATAATGCAAATTTCTTTGCTTTTGCAGAATGTACATATGTATTTGACTTGAATCTTTTCTCACAGTTTATGTCCTGAAGTATATTTGTGTTGTTATAAGCATAACTCTGTGCAGCCAGGACCTACCAGAGGAGCTTCCCATCTCCCAAAATAGCACTTACATGCTATTTATTAATAGTGATATACCTGGCAGTCCAGTTAAAGAATTCTGGGTTTCATTTGGGGGAACTGTAATATACTTTTCACTGGCGGGGGGGAAGCAGTTTTCTGAGTGGTTTTCCTACCAAGGTAAATAGTAGTCATTTATTTTCAAGTTAGGAGGAAAACCCATGCCTGTCTCAATGGGAAGAAATCAGTTTCATTCAGATGGTGTCTGGAAAAATGGTCTTGAATACCTTCTTTCCTTATTTCTTGTCTTCATAAAAATATTGTTTAGAGAAAAAAACTGTGTGAAGACAGTTTCAAGTAAAGGACTACACATAAAACATGTCTTTCTTACACACAGAACTCATTTCCAAGTTTTTATCATATATATGTATATATGCACTGTTTCATCAAGTTTATAGTAGCTGTATCTTTAAAAATACAATATCTTTGTTCCACAATGTGGACACACACACACACACACACACCTGATGACACATCTCATTTCTGTGCCGAATATGTCATGATTTTAGTTGAGCTGCCATAGGCTAAAGCTCAACCATTCAACCTGGAAAAACATTCAGGTGGTCTGGAACATAGAAAAACCCCTAAAGCTGTTCAGCTAGAATTTGAAGGGTGAGAGTAAAACTTCTGTTCTGTGTAAATCTGTCCAAATTTAGTGTTATACAGTATTAGGCACTACTCTAGGAGCCAAGAACTGACTTGGCCTAAAGGCCCCTGCAAGAAGACAAACCCCCATACCCTGAAGTCACCTTACATTAGAGAAATAAATGAATTTTAAACATTCCATTGTAAATACAATGAACGGCCCACACATCATTTTTTCACATGTAGAGTAGCTTCATCTAAAAGCACTCTTTTAAAAGTTAGCTCCTGTTTTGGAGATTCTAAATAAAACAGCATTTTAATTGGCCTTTGGGAAGGCCAGCATGCTCAAGCACAGCATATGTGATGGGATCCTCGACAATTTTTGCTGAGTTTTAGAATGCAAATTTAAGCCCACAGTACACACTCCAGCAAATATATATGCATCTATCTATGCACAGACTGGTAGATACAGCACACAAGCATATAATGTGCAGAGGGACAGTGGCAAAAATATCTTTTTTTTTTTTTTTTTTATAGCTTTGGTTGAGATTTATTCTAACCTATCCCACAAAAGAAACGTTTCATCGCTGTAGTGGTGGAGGCAGTGTGAAGGATGGAGTGTGTGCAGCTCTTTGGAGAAACAGGGGGACTCCTTTAGCCTTTTCCATCCGAATTTTGATTTGCTTCTTAGAAGTAGAAGCTGAGTTCATCAGCTAAACCGCTAAGCTTGAGATTTGCTTTAAAACTGGAACTCACCCCATTTGGCCGGCGCAGGCGGCTGCCAGCAATGTCCCTGGGCTTCCAGTTCTCTGGAACGTTCGCGTGGCCTGTTTACCCGGCCCGGCTTGGCGGACAGGGGGGCTTCCCATCCCGGGAAAGATCTTGTTTGCTGCCCTCTCTCCCAACCCCCAGGCCAACCGTGCGGCGCGAATCCCGAGAAGCGCGCCCTCGGCCGGGCCCCGGAGCCCGCTGCGCCCGGCGCCTCCCCAGCGGGAGGCGGGAGCAGGCCCTGGCTTGCCCGCTCGGCTGGAAGTGCGGTATCTTGACATTGCGCCCCTCTCGCCGCGACTCGTGGGGCACAAGAGCAACCGCGGCGGGTCCCGACCCGCGCGGGGAGACCGAGACTGCGGGGCGCGGCCTCCCGCGCCGTCCTCGCAGCCCTCCGGGCGCTGGTCCGCGCAGCGCTCTCGGGCCGCGGGGTCACAAGGGGAGGGGAGCCGGTCGAAGCCCCTGGCTCCTGGCTGGAGGCGCTCACGCCCGGGTCTCCCCACTCAGACCTTCGAGGAAGACTAAGTCCTAAACTGGAGGACATTCGTGACGACGCAGACTGTCCTCACTGCCCAAGTGGCGCGTCCACGCGGACCCGCGCCTCATAGCACTAGCTGGCTTCCACGAGGGCCGGAGCGGCTCGGTGGCGGCCCTAGCAGCGACTTGTGGAGCAAAACCGATAACGTGTTTCGAACCCCAAAGTGTATGTATCGTAAAACTCAAGAAGGTTAGGCTCCCGGTCCTTCACTATCCTTCCCTGCGCTCCCCCTTCTCAAGCCCGGGGAGGGGCGCTAGCAATTCTAGACTCCGAACTGTGCGGGTTCTCCTCCGCCACCGTCTAAGTGCACGCCCGCACTCCCCGCGGCGGCCCGCCTTGCCGCCCGCCTCACCGCCCGCCCAAACCGCTCACCAGCCCCCCACCGCGCTCCCAGGGCGCCCTGAAGGCGTAGCCGACGAGTAACTCCGAAACGCCACGCTGAGTTACGCGGGGCAGAAATGCAGACGTATGACGTCATTTTCACACCTCCTTTCTCGGATTGTCTCGCGTATTTTGAGCCCACCAGGGGAACTGCCCGCACTGCAGTTTAAGCAAAAGTGTTACAATTCCGAGGAAGTGTAGATTCGGCGGAAGTTCTTATTTTCCTAAACATCATTTTTAGTTTCTTCGTATAATAATCTCGTCTGTTGGCTAAGGTTCTGAAATTGAATATTAAATATCATAGCTTTTTTTTTTTTTAAGATTTTATTTATTTGACAGAGAGAGACAGAGCGAGAGAGGGAAAACAAGCAGGGGGAGTGGGAGAGGGAAAAGCGGGCTTCCCGCGGAGCAGGGAGCCCAATGCGGGGTCTAGATCCCAGGATCCTGGGATCAGGGCCTGAGCTGAAGGCAGACGCTTAAGGACTGAGCCACCCAGGAGCCCCAAAACATCATAGCTTTTATATGTTGTTGAAACCAGTGTGGTGTGATGAAGTCTATGCACTATTAAATCTCAAAAACAAAACAATACCCCCAACCAAAGGCTTCTCTTTAGGGCAGCCTGATTAAGCAGTCGGAGAGAGAAAAGGGAGGATTTCAGAATCACCAGAAAGGAGCAGGAAGGTCTCCCTTGCTGTCATCAGAATATTACACACACCGACTTCTAGAACAAATAAATAAAGCATTGATTGCCTCTAAACCTGAGGCCTCGCCTGAAAAAAAAATGTGATGGCAGTCTGCAAATTCAGAGAGCTTCGCCATTTCTATGCAAGGAAACGGCTCAGTACTTTGCAATCCAGGCTTTTAAATTTCCTGACTTTCTACTGGGGGGGGAAGGGGAGGGTCTGGGGGAGGTGAGATAGGTCATCCTTATAAGACAAAGAAACACAATACCTTTGGTCATTTAGAATTTTCCCAACTATTTTCTGGCCAAGGAAATCATCAGAAACCTATAGTTACAAAAATTTATAAATCTACCTACAGTTTTAAACTGTATTTTGTATATTTTATCCTCAACAAGCTGAGGGTATTTTAATAAAAGATGAAAATAGATATTCAGCAAATAGCATTCTTTCTCTATTTGTTAGCAACGTTCTTCTCACAGGATTTTTCCAAAGCCATAGGGGTGGAAGGAAAGAGAAAAATGTGAGCAAGTGTGCGTTTTGCTTGCCTCTGAAACTTTCGTCTCCATCGCAGTCCTGTCTAGATCAAAGCTGGCTGTGCTTGGCTTACTAACCTGGGTTTCTGCTGTATAGACTCAGAACCACCAGTGCGCTTAGCTGATCCCTGTGGGGTGGGTGCTATGTCTAAAGCGCCTGTGGAAAACCCAGGTGGCCCAGCCAGCCAGTGGGAAGCCCAGAGATCACCCCAGCCATTTCCCTCAATCACAGGCCTAACCGGGGAAACATTTAACCTTGAGCTTTATTTAAAGCACACAGTTTTCACAAGCCAGGTTCTCTCCTCCAGACCAGCAGGCCCCAGCGCGTGGCCTCCGCTGCGTGGGGAGGAGGGCCTGGCAGCTGGTGGATCCGTCTGGGCCACAGCTGCAGGGTCGGGAGCTCCTCTCAGACTCGGCTTCTTTCAGAAAACTCTTTTCTTGTCGGATGTGGTTTCCCTTTAATTAATCACTCATGCCCGCGTGTCGGCCGCGCAGCTTCCCCACTCTTCCTCCAGTCCCGCATATGATCCGTATTTGGAAGCCGGAGCACAGGCCGAGCGACTGGGGGCGGCGTGGGTGTGGACTCCGCCGGCGGCAGGGCTGCCAGCTACCCTCAGAGACCCCAGTTCGTGGTACTTCGTAAGACAGGCTTTCTGGAAGATCCACACCCGCCTCCCGGACTTCCTCGCCAGTTGGCCACGCGGTTCCAGGCTTCGGCCTGGGTGGTCCAGGTGTTCCGGGTGGTCTGGAAGACCGTATTTCCGTCAGGTTCTCTCCTTTCTCCACCTCCCTCTCTCCCCTCCCCTCGCCTTAGGAGCTGGCATCGCGCTGGCAGGAGCCACCTTTTGCACCCCAGTACCCATCCCACTCCTTCAAGGATCCCTCCAGGCCTGCGTTGGCCTTCTCGGGTACTGTGGTTTACTGGACTTCGCAGGGGAAACTGGCCAAGCTTCTAGGAAGTTTGGCCCCGGGAGATTGTTGGCCGAGGCCTATGCAGTCTCCTCTCCGGAACGCCCTCGCCCCAAACCCCAACATCAAGGTAGTCTCAGGACTGTGGGTGCTGACGCAACGGGTGTACATTCAGCCCGTTTCCCTCGTTGCGTTTCCTTGTTACTTCCAAGCCACAAAAGGAGGCCTCCTGAACACGGGCCTCAGCTTTAAGGGCGCAGCCGGTTGCGGCAAGAACCACCCCGGGACTCGGGTGTCTCCCAATGTGCCTCATGCCGCCCCATGCCGAGCGAGGTGGGATGCGATATTCACGTTTGTCAGCGGTGGTGGGTCTCAAGAGACCACGTGGGGCTCGGTGTGCCAACTCAGTACAGTAACGACCCGGGGGCTGCCGCCTCGATGCCTCAGGCGGCTCGGGCGCCAAGTTCGGGCGCCAGGTTCTGCCGACCCGCGGCGGGGCGCTGGGCGCGGGCTTC